TGAGGCCACACTCAAATAATGGCGCACAGGTGTGCCGACCCAACGACTGTGCTGAGTGACCATGTAGCCAGAGCCAGGCTTCCTGCAGTCAGGGTTTCCAGGCAGAGCAAATACCCTAAAGATTCTCTGTGATGCAGGAAATGTAGATGAAGGAAACTAGAACTACAGGGATGTCTTTAATCCTGCTGTGGACTCGCTCTCCTGGAAAGGGGTCTGTCCACCCCTCGTCATTGGTTGGTGTTAAACCCATATTCCTTTCAACTGTTGCCTCCTAGGGAAACTGCTCCTCATTATCATGACTACTATTGCTCCCCACTGTATCCCCTCTATGTGGCATGTGCTTGTCAAGTCTTGATCAATAAATTTGTTAATAATGCTTACTCTTCATCTTGGCTTTTTCTAGACTCTGGTATCTACTCAACACAGTATCGACTGAATTCTGGTATCTACACAACGCAGTAGAGTAGGCTACACACTCACTGTACTCACCAGTTTCAGTTTACCTCACTGCAGCATTTTCACAGAAACCTTTTGCATTTTCTATTGCTGCCATCTGAATTACCATAAATTCATAGACTTAAAGCAACACAAATTTATGATCTCACAGTTCTGTATGTGAGAAGTCCCACAGGGATCTCACCAGGCTAAAATCAAGGTGGCTGCAGGCTAGATTCGTTTCTGGAGTGTCTAAGGAGGAATCTGTTTCCTTGCTTATTCGGATTGTTGGCAGAAGCAGTTCCTTTCATTTATAGGCCTGAGGTCCCAGTTGTTTCATGGTTGACAGCTAAGTGCTGTGCTCACTTCTAGAGGCTACCACACCCTGGCTCCCAGATCCCCTCCTCCATCTTCACAGCAGCAACAGTGTGCTGAGGCTCATCTCCTAGTTCTTTTTCTCCATTGTGTCTCTTTGATTCCTTTACCTTCTCCTGTGTTTTCTTTCTTTCTTTTTTTTTTTTTCATTGACGGGGATTCACTCTGTCACCCAGGCTGGAGTGCAGTGGCGTGATCTCGGCTCATCGCAAACTTTGTCCCCTGGGCTCAAGCAATCTACCCCCTTCAGCTTTCCAAGTAGCCGGAACCATAGGCCCATGTCACCATGCCCTGGTATTTNTTTAACATGAATGGGTGTTGGGTTTTGTCAAACGCTTTTTTTTGCATCTATTGATATAATCACATGATTTTTCTTCTTTAGATGACAGATAACATTAATTGACTTTCAAATGCTGGACCAGCCTTACATACCTGGGATATATCCCAGTTGGTACTGGTGTGAAAATCTTTTTTTTTTTTTTTTGAGACGGTGTCTTGCTCTGTTGCCAGGCTGAACTGCAGTGTCGCGATCTCAGCTCACTGCAACTTCTCCCTCGCGGGTTCAAGTGATTCTCCTGCCTCAACCTCCTGAGTAGCTGGGACTACAGGCACAAGCCACCATGCCCAGTTGATATTTGTACTTTTACTAGAGATAAGGGTTAACCATGTTGACCAGGATCGTCTCGATCTTTTGACCTTGTGATTTGCCTGCCTCAGACTCCCAAAGTTCTGGGATTACAGGGTTGAGCCACTGCACTGGCCTACAGGGATATTTTAAATCCTGCCATGGACTCTGTCTCCAGAAAACAGATCTGTCCATCCCTGCTCATTGGTGAATGTTAAACCAATATTCCTTTCAACTGCTGCATGCTAGAGAAAACTACTCCTCATTATCATCACTATTATTGCTCCCCACCGTATCCCCTCTACTTGGCATGTGCTTGTCAAGTTCTAGTTTTCAATAAATTTGTGAATAATGCTTACTCTTCAACTTGGCTTTTTCTAGATTCCGGTGTTTACTCAGCACAGTAGAGTAGTCCACACACCTACTATACTCCCCATAGTGTCGGTTTACCTCACTGCAGCGTTTTCACAAAACCTTTATTGTATGTATTTTCTTCTGCTGTCATGATGAATTACCACAAATTTTTAGACTTAAAGTAATACAAATTTTTGGTTCACAGTTGTATAGGTCAGAAGTCCAATAGAGATCTCACCAGGTTAAGATCAAGGTGTCTGCATGCTGGATTCTTTTCTGGAGCCTCTAGAGAACAATATGTTTTCTTGTTTTTTCAGATTGCTGGCAGAATTCAGTTCCTTGCAATTATAAGACAGAGGTCCCAGTTGCTTACTAGTTACAGCTCAAGGCTGTTCCCATCTCTAGAGGCTGCTGTGCTTCGGCTCCCAGCTCCCTTCTTGCATCTGCAAAGCAGAAACTGTGCACTGAGGACCTGTCAATCTTTGAAGTTTTTCTGGTTCTTTTTCCATTGCATCTTTCTGATTCTTTTGCCTTCTACTTTTGAGAATTCCTGTGATAAGATTAAGTCCACCTAGAATAATCATCATATTTTAAGGTCCATAGACATTTGGGGGGACTATTGACAATATTTGCCACTTAGAAATTTCTTCCACCAGATACCCTAATCATCTCACTGGAGCTCAAAGTTCCACAGATCTCTAGGGCAGGGACAAAATGCCGCCAGTCTTTTTGCATAGCAAGAGTGACCTTTACTCCAGTTCCCAACAAATTCGTCATCTCTATCTGAGACTACCTCAGCCTAGACTTAATTGTCCATATCACTATCAGCATTTGGTCAAAGTCATTCAACAAGTCTCTAGGAAGTTCCAAACTTTCTCACATTTTCCTGTCTTCTTCTGAGCCCTCCAAACTGTTCCAACCTCTGCCTGTTACCCGGTTCCAAAGTCACTTCCACATCTTTGGATATCCTTATAGCAGTACCCCACTCTACCAGTACCAATATACTGTACTAGTCTGTTGTCATGCTACTATGAAGGACTGCCTGAGACTGGGTAATTTATAAAGGAAAGAGGTATAATTGACTCATGGTACGACTGGGGAGGACTCAGGAAATTTACAATCATGGCAGAAGTGGAAGCAAACACGTTCTTCTTCACGTGATGGCAGAAAGACGAAGTGCTGAGCAAAAGAGGGGGAAATGTCCCTTATAAAACCATCAGATGTCATGAGAACTGACTATTATGAGAACAGCATGGAGGTAACTGCCCCCGTGATTCAATTACTTTCCACTAGGTCCCTTCTACAATATATGGGGATTATTGGAACTATAATTCAAGATGATATTTGGCTGGAGACACAGCCAAACCATATCACGTGGTTTCTTGCTAAGCTACCTGATAAGCAATCAATTCTATTCCTGCCCATAACACATATGTTTCCCTCTGGTACAGGTCAGCTTTGGCAGAAGATGAAACTTAGCTTAGCTAGATACTTCTGGAACAAGCTGCTTCAGAAGCCCTGGGCTTTATTTCTTCAGATAAAAAATCTGAAGCCAGATCTCAGCCTGATCAGCCAAGCTTTTGAATCCCTACAACCTCCTCTTCTGTTTCTTCCAAAGAACTGCTTAGGCTTGGCTGGAATGATCAAATACTTATTATGATTTTATCCTCATTAGCCACTCAGCCTAGAATCCAATTTTAATTATGCTGCAGAAGCATCAAGTGATGGGTGAGACTGCTGTTTCAGTTTAAGGGTCAGTCGAATAGAAAAAGCGGTTCTTACTAATGTCTTTAGTTTATTCTCATCAAAGAGCTTCCTCTGCAGATGGAACCTACTAGTTCTTCCTTCCTGGTCCTTGAACTTCTAACCTGGAGTGGTTTAATCTTGCTGCCATCTCTCTCTGGCACTCTAGTGCCTAATGATTTCAGAAACTGGGCCACACTGTGGTGGGAATGACCTTACCCTTAGCACGTCACTCACTCACTGAACAGCTGAGAGCAGAGCTTAGGCCTGGGCCCTATAAGGAGAGAGGAATCACATGCTCCAGAGGTCTGTCCTGAGGAGCAGGTACTCTAGCCACAGCAAAGACACAGTTGATGCCTGGATCACAATAATAGAAGACAGGACATGAGAACAGCAAAAGATGTGGGTGTCAGAAGAGGCTGAGAACACTTCAGGCAGGAGCACTGAGTTGTGCTCAGAGGAAGTAGGCACGAAGGCTGGGCAGGATTTCAAGGGCAGAGATGGAGCAAACAATTCAAGTGAAAGGCATGGCAGGAGAAAGGGAGCGCTGGCCACAGGAAGTGCAACGTTGTGACGCAAGGCCACTGTGGAGCCATTGCTAGTGTATTAATGCAAAGCTTGGAATTGAATCGGAAAGGGATTGGAGGCCTCCAGACTAAGCATTTAGTCACTTGAGGGGGATATTCACAACTGGGAGTCGGGAAGATTATTCTGGAAGATATCTTTACAATGTCAAGATTGGAGTCTGTGGGGAAGGGATTACCTTTTGGGGAGGATGGTATGTGTTCCAGTGTCTGTGTGTGTGCTGGTGTGTGTGGTCCTTGGACCCAACCCAAACACCTACTGGCAGAAGGAAATGGCCAACTAGAAAGTTTTGCTCACTTTCATCTTCTGCCCCCACCAGAATGCCACCTCCCTGAGGAAAAGGTTTTTTGCTGCTCACTCAATATCCTCAGCACCTCTTATCCAATAGCTCTGGAATGAATGACAAGACCTTCATAACAGCCAGCGCAACTGCTATCTCCTTTCCTTTGCTACCCCTCCCTCTCCAGCCATGCCTGCTTCCCCCAAGCCCTTCCGCGCTCCGGGCCCAACCTCAAACCCAGCAACTTGAACAAGAGTCGTCTGGCTTTGGAAACAGGGCGGTTTATGTTTTCCTCCTCATGTTTCCTCCCCAGCAAAATCACCGTGTACATGGAGAGGCATCTCTTAGTGGATACCAGCAAAGCCAGCAACCTCGGTGAATCTCAAAGCTTGAGAGAGAGAGAGACAGAGACAGACAGAAAGAGAAAGAAACAACGAGAAAAAGAGAGAAAGGGAAAGACAGAGAATCTTGCTTTTGAACAAAGAAAAGGTAAATAAAAAGACCCCATCATCTCAAAAGGTTATTTCCGTGTATTCTACCTAGCAACTGCTGAGAAACAAGGCTCGACACCATTGGCTGGTTCACTTACCCGCGGCCAATCCTGGCTCGGAACTATTAGGGAACTCGGGAGAGACCGATCCGCAGCTCCAGACATGGCGACTTAGGGGAAAGAGAAGAACATTGGTATCTCCGCTTTGGAGACGGTTTGTGTCTAGTAGTGCCCGTGCCCCTGGGCAGGTTGGAGAGAAGGACGGCTGGAGAATCGTCATGTGAGGACCAGAGGAGAAAAGAAGACGCCACGTTAATTCTACAAGGTGCGGAGGGGAGGGGAGGGGAGGGGAGGCGCGGGGAGGCGCCACAGCTCCGGGGCGGGCGGTAGGGGGAGCGGCATCCGCTGTGGACGCGAGCGCGGGGCCTGGGAGAGGGAGGCCACGGCGGGGAGGCGCGGGCTCGCCGGGCTTTACCTCGCGTGGCCCGGCCTGGGTGCGGGAGCGGGAAGGGAAGGGAAGGGAAGGGAAGGGAGGAGGGTGTGGAAGAATCCAGCGGCCGCAGAAGAAAGCGGACGCTGGCCAGAGAAGTGAGTGGAGGAGGGCGGGAAACGGCCCACTCCATCTTTGCCCTGATTGCTTATTCCATGGAATGTTTAGGGAATCCCTCTCTCGGGAGATACCTGAGCCTTCACATGCAGTGGACTCGCTGAAGTTGGGGGCTGATGAGATCTACTTGAGTGACAGGAGAGGTTGGGTCCGACCAGCACCGAGGTGCCAAGACTCCTAGGCTGATTCTCCTCCTCTGTAACCCTAGGCCTCTGGTCCCTGCCTGCCCCGGTGCTCATGGAACCTGCTGCTGCCCTGCCCTTCTCCCTGCCAGCCTCCCTCCTGCTCCTCCTCAGCCTGTGTGCACTGGTCTCAGGTAGCAATGTGTGCCACGTGCTGCTGTCATCTATGGGAAAGGAACGGCAACACTGCAGTCTGCAAAGGGAAAGGAGGACTGTGGGATTGACGACTTAGCCTTTCGTTCTGAGCATGCTCACTGAATTTACCAGCCCTGTCCAAAAGAAATACAGCCAGGGACAAAGGTCAAGTGCATGTACAATAGCAAATTTTCAAAAAAAAATTAAATTTTATTTATTTATTTATTTTTGGGTGGGGACGGAGTTTCGCTCTTGTTACCCAGGCTGGAGTGCAATGGCGCGATCCCAGCTCACCACAACCTCCGCCTCCTGGGTTCAGGCAATTCTCCTGCCTCAGCCTCGTGAGTAGGTGGAATTACAGGCACGCGCCACCATGCCCAGCTAATTTTTTGTATTATTTTAGTAGAGACGAGGTTTTACCATGTTGACCAGGATGGTGTCGATCTCTTGACCTCGTGATCCAGCTGCCTCGGCCTCCCAAAGTGCTGGGATTATAGGCTTGAGCCACCGCGCCCGGCCAAATTTTACTTTTAATTTTAAAAAGTAAAAAACATGAAATAAATTTGTGTACCATATCTGTTTCGTCCCAAATAATCAAATATGAATATATAAATGCTTAATACACCATATTACCAACGAGATAGTCAACATTTTGAAACTTTGAATCTTCATAATCCTGTGTGTATTTTACACTCACAGCTCCTTTCAGCTGGAACCAGCTAGTGGAACCAGCTAGGGCACCAATAGGTGCCCTGTTGATGGCTCAAGTTTACACTATACTCAGGCACAGCGCTAGATTGGGGAATGGAGGAAAATGTCCCCAGGGGCACAGGGTAGACAGAGGGTGCTCAGGGTGGGCTCAGTGTTTCCTTGGTGAAGCAGAAGCACTTTTCATAGTTACTGCTCCCAGGGGTGTTGTCGACTAGCCACAGCTTCTGGTCCCCAGAAATCCCAGCCCAAGAAAACCCTACGGCTGTGGAAAGAACATGTTTGTCCCTGGAATATCTGCTTCCTTTCCTGCCTTAGAGATGTGGTGACTGGCGTCCTTGTCTGACTCCACCCCTCTGTTGAACAGCACAGTTGACTGTCATGGGGCCCACTGACCCCATCCTGGCCATGGTGGGAGAAAACACGACGTTACGCTGCCATCTGTCCCCCGAGAAAAATGCTGAGGACATGGAGGTGCGGTGGTTCCGGTCTCACTTCTCCCCGGCAGTGTTTGTGTATAAGGGTGGGAGAGAGAGAACAGAGGAGCAGATGGAGGAGTACCGAGGAAGAACCACCTTCGTGAGCAAGGACATCAGCAGGGGCAGCGTGGCCCTGGTCATACACAACGTCACAGCCCAGGAGAACGGCACCTACCGCTGTTACTTCCAAGAAGGCAGGTCCTCCGATGAGGCCATCCTGCGCCTCATGGTGGCAGGTGCGTTGCTTCCTTTCGCTTTGTTACTTTAGCACAGTGTGACTCTTGGGGAAAGTTTCTCTCCTAACCTCAGGCCCGTAGCAGACCAGCACAGTCCTCTTTCCTGGGTCTCCTTTCCACAGGCAGATTCTTCATGGACACTTTCCCTATGGAAAGAACATTCCAGGGAAAAATCCTTCCTCCTGCATAAGGGCCACCATGAGTGGGTTTGCCCTGCTAAGCTGTGGGCTTCACTTCTTGGGAAGCACATGCAGAACTCAGCTGAGGCCATGAGCAGGGGAATTTGGTGGATTTCGGAAGAAAAGTCTCATGCCTGCCTTCACACTGAGCTGTGCACGTCTGAGAGTGAGAGGAGACACTTAATAATTGTCCTGGGACAACTGGAATAAACAAGGACTGACCAGAGAACTAAGACATATCAACTCTTATTTCTTGGTAAATATGAATCCTGACCTCTTTCCTGAAAAGCTGATTGCAGATAGAGTGACTAATATGTAAATAGATGGGATTATTAAAGGAAGACTTAATACAGAAGCAAAAAAAAATTTTTTTTTTAGATGGAGTCTTGCTCTGCTGCCCACACTGGAGTGTAGTGGCAGGGTCTTGGCTCACAGCAATCTCCACCTCCCAGGTTCAAGCAATTCCCCTGCCTCACCCTCCTGAGTAGGTGGGATTACAGGCATGCACCTACATGCCTGGCTAATTTTTGTATTTTCAGTAGAGATGGGATTTTGCCATGTTAACCAGGCCGGTCTCAAACTCCTGACCTCAGGTGATCCACCCACCTCGATTTCCCAAAGTGCTGGGATTACAGGGGTCAGCCACCACACCCAGTCCAGAAGCAAAATTATATTCCTGCTGACTCCACAGAGAAAGAACAAGAATTTAGCTGGCAGGAAATAGATAAGGTTTCAACATAGAAATGCATTTAAACTGGGATTTCTAGGAATTTGTTAAAATGACATCAAGTGACTACCTCTGTCTTGGGGTTAGTTTATTATGCATTAAAAGATATTTGTGAAGACTGAAAAAGCCTTTAAGGTGCAGGCTAATCTGTGGTGGCATTTCACTCCATCAGACCAGAGGAGGTGAGGACTAGGGAATTAACTTCTTACCAGGGGGCCTCAAATAACAGGTAGGAGGCTCCATCTTTGCTACTCACAGTGGTAGCCTCGCATCTGATTAAAACAGAATATCGTGGACGGAGGGTTTCTCGACCCTGTGTCATGGAAGACTTGGTAGCAGTACTTCAGGGTTGACCAGTGATGGTTTCTGTGTAGCAGGAATCGCCTAATCTTTCTCTGTAAAACTGTCGCTGGCCTGGCGTTCCCCACTCTGAACTGGGTTGCTTAGAACTTTCTGTTTGTTTGTTTATTCTATTCTCTCTGTTGGGTTGATTGGCTGGCTGATTTGCCTGTATCGAACCTCATGGAATGTTTTAAAGAACTTTGTTTTCCAATATGCTGAGTTATTTTAATTCTTATTCTGCCGAGCCTTTAAATGTACAAGTAGTTTTATCTCTTGATAAAAATTAAAGTGAGCCTGGGAAACACGGCAAAACTCCATCTCTTTAAAAAAAAAAAAAATACAAAAACATTAGCCAGGCATCGTGGCATATGCCTGCAGTCCCAGCTACTTGGGAGGCTGAGGTGGAAGGATCACCCGAACCCAGGAAGTTCAGGTTGTGGTGAACGAAGATCACGCCACAGCACTCCAGCCCAGGAAATAGAGTGAGACTGTGTCAAAATAATAATAATAATAATTAATAATTAAACTGAGCCATAGCACTAGACTTCAGTTATTGGTTTAATTTCCTGTCTTTGGTAAAATTGGTTGGGAGACTTAACAAAGGAATTATTGGGAAGAAGTTTGGATGATCACACACGGCTGAAATGTATCCCAGGACCATGCTTTTGCAGCTCTTTCATACCTGGTGTTCACTTTTGTTGAAGATTCATTTAAAGATGGATTGTAGTTAGGGTGAGTGTAGATTCTTAGGATTTTTGGTGATGGTCTCTGATACTGAAAATGTGGTATGGTTATCTTAATCCCTGGATCATCCAGATCTTTCTAACAAATTGATGCTCTCAAAGTAGTTTAAGAAAATTGCCCTGCCTGGGCAACATAGTGAGGCTTTGTCTCTACAGAAAAATAAAATGGTAGCCAGGCATGGTGGGAACATGCCTGTAATCCTAGCTAGTTGGGAGGCTGAAGCGGGAGGATCTCTTGAGCCCAGGAGTAGAGGGCACAGTGCTGATTTTGCCACTGTACTCCAGCCTGGACAAGAGTTAAACCCTGTCTCTAAAAAAGCAAAAGGAAAACAAAAGAGGCATTGCCTAACAGGTGGAGCCTCTGGGAGGTAAACAGTGTGAATTAGGATTAGAGGTGGCTTTGTGGACCAGCATGTTGAAGCTCCTAAAAGCCATCACCTCCTACGGGTGGTAGACAGCGGTGGTTATGTGAAGTTCTGAGCTACACAGAAGGGTCAGTGTCTTTGGTCAATAGGTTTCTTAAGATTCTGCTCGCTTGGCAGTTTTTTGTCCTTCTTCTTATTATAGTAGAGCTTCTGGAAGCTGAGGCCTACTGAGAAGTCATCTCAGGAGCAGAAAGTGAAATCCACAGCCTGTCTGTTTCAAGTTGGAGTCAACGCACCCACCTTGAAGTGAGAAAGTTAGTCTGGCAGGATAAATTGAACAAGAATTTATAGCAAACAGATAGATGCCTGGTGCTTTGATGGGGCCTGTAGGTGGACCACAAAGAAAAGGGCGCAATGTGATCCTTTCCTCTTAGAGAGCTCACAGTTCATGTGGCCCACTGGTCTCCTGGTGTTCTCCAACATCAGGGTTCTTTGTTCCTTACCCTCACCCTTTTTTCCCTCTTCCTCTTTCTTGCTTCCTACCTCTGTCTTTTTTTCCTTTGCATTCTCCCTTCACAGAAGAGATGCAGTAGGTACTGACACACCACTGCCTCTTGGCTGAGCCCGGTTATCTCTCCCTAGGACTGGGCTCTGAGCCCCTGGTTGAAATGAGGGGTCACAAGGATGGGGGCATCCTACTGGCATGCATATCCAGAGGGTGATACCCGAAGCCCTTCACGGTGTGGAGGGACCCCTCCAGTGAGGTCGTGCCTGCCCTGAAGGAGGACTTCACCTCTGACACAGACAGCCTCTTCATGGTCACCACAGCTGTGATCATCAGAGACAGGTCCGTGAGGAACATGTCCTGCTCTGTCAACAACACCCTGCTCGGCCAGAAGAAAGAAAGCGTCATTTTTATTCCAGGTAAGTTCTCTGCCTTCTGAGACTTATCTAGTGCATGGGGGATCTTCAGCACACAGAGCCCAGAGCCGGGGTCGGGCAGCAGTGTGGGTGGAATGGTCCTGGGCCCTGAGGAGTTGGAGGCTGCAGCTTAGCTGAGGCCTCTCCCCTTGCCACAAGGGGAGAATCAAAGAGTCCGAGCACTCATCAGTAGAAGCCTCTTCTCTGAGGTTGAACCTGGTATTTTGTTTTTCCCTGTAAGGTCCTTATGCTGCAGCAATTTTTAAACATTGAAAACAACCATAACACATGGAGAGTGGTGTGGATAGGTGACTCTCTACACTTGGTGCTCCTGTGTGCTGCAGCCCTCCCTTGCTGGAAAATCCCTTCAAAATCCACTGGAAAATCCCACTCATAATTTATTCAACAAATGCTCAAGGAGTATATTTTATGTTCAAGACACTGTTCTAGAAACCAAAGGTAAATCATTGAAGAAAATATATCAAGATCTCTTCCCTTAAAAAGTGATTAAATAATTAATTAACTATGTATTTTATCAGATGGTGATGAACATCTATAGGAAACATTGAGCAAGGAGGGAATAAAGAGGCCGGGGTGTGAGACATTGCAGTTATGAACAGAAGGGTCAGGGAAGACGTCACTGTAAAGATGGGAATTGATTCAACCCATCCGATGACAGGGAACCATCAGACGCTTAAGGACTGAGCAACCCAGCTCCAGGAAGAGCATATGCAAAGGGCCTGGGGAAATAACATCTCTGGCAGTTTCCAGGACCCCCAGGAGGTGATGCTGGTGTGGCTGAAATGGAGTGAGTGCAGGAAGTGAGAGGAGATGAATTCACAGAGGGAAAGAAAACACGTTATATATGGCATCGTAAGCCACAAACAGACTTTGACTTTTAGAGTGAGTGAGATGGGAAGCACTGGAAGGTTTTGAGCAAATAATTAACATGGTCTCACTTGGGCTGCTCTGTGGAGGACAGACTGCCGATGGTAAGGGCAGAACAAGAGGGAGGGCACTGCAGTATTCCAGGTGTGAGTGATGGTGGCTTGAGGCGGGTGCTGGCTGTGCTGACTCAGCACGGCGGGTCAGCTTCACGCACCCGGGTCCTTCCCATGCTGACTCCAGATGTTTCTGCTTTGCTGCCTCTGGGCCCTGGCCTGGAAGCCACTGAGGTGTCGGCCAGCAGTGAGCCAGCATCTCTTTCACCGTCTGAGTTTTCTGAGGGAGAAGCAAACCCAACAGGTAGCTCAGGAGCTCTTGAGATGTGCTCCTAGGGGCATCTCACCCCAGATGTTCTCTTCAAACTAAGTGGACATTTCTGGCTGCCTTTTCAGAATCCTTCATGCCCAGTGTGTCTCCCTATGTGGTGGCCCTGCCTGTCATTGTGCTTATTCTGATGATACCCATTGCCGTATGCATGTATTGGATCAACAGACTCCAAAAGGAGAAAAAGATTCTGTTAGGGGAAAAGGAGTTTGAACGGGAAATGAGAGAAATTGCTATAAAGGACCTGGAAAAAGAACGTGTGGAAAAAGAGAAAGAACTTCAAATAAAAGGTAAAAGAGGCTGGGTATGGTGGCTTACGGCTTGAATCCCAGCACTGTGGGAGGTTGAGGCAGGTGGATCACTTGAGCCCCGAAGTTCGAGACCAACCTGAACAGTAAAGTGAGACCCTGTTTAATTAAAAATAAATAAATCAATCAAAGAGCAGGAGGACAGTTCACCATTCTAGAAAGGACACAACTCCCCCAGGCACCATCGTAGGGAAGAGAGAGAGGAAATGCACGGCAGCAGCAGCAAGGGCTTGGAACTCTCACATCCTCGGAATGAATCTCTGAGAGCTCATATTCTTTCATTCTGCCCGCCTGCATTGCATTCATTCGCCTGGCTCCATAACGTACTAAATGGTTGAGCAAAGCAAGTCTAACAGTGTACTGATAGTACTCAGCCACCTGATCATGTGTCATTTCTGGCTTCTGACAGTGTCCTAGGCATGAGGGAAGGGAGATATTGCTGTTCATAGAAAGGAGGGTTCCTGCATTGTTGACTATAAACTTAGCTTCTTTTAGTTCTTCTGTTGAAGACATCATTTTGTTTGTTTGTTTTTCAGAACAACTTCAAGAAGAACTGAGTAAGTTTAGCCTTTCCTGAACTACTGCGTGTATGTACAATTTGTGTTCTGCTCAGTTAGCAGCATCTCATGACATTCCCCTCTGTCTGTCCCTTGCAGGATGGAGAAGAATGTTCTTACATGCTGGTGAGTGCCTCTGAGGTTCCCTCAGACATCAGCTTTCTCCCCACTAGCCAGCTAACAGGACTCCTTAGAGGAGAAGAGCAGGGGTCCCAGGGCTAGGAGGGTACAGCAGGGAACTGAGGTCAGATCACCAGCAGTGCCCCAGCAATGATGCATCACAGCTCTTCTGTCAGGGAATCCCGGCAGCTCTCAGTCAACCCTACGGTTTACATCTCAGGATCCGTTCTCTTTTGGAATAATTGAATGTGTGATTACCGGAGGTTTCCCATATATAGTAGCCTCCCCAAGAGTTATACTTGAGTGTTTTTTGCTCTTTGATCTTGGATCAATTTGAAAGAAGATAATGCTGTCTTAGCAATTGATATACTAGAGACAGTGGAGACTGTTCATAGTTGAAGGCCCTTGTGGGGAAAAGGCTATAAAGGTTCGCAATAAACCTGACAGAATGGCCGGGCACGGTGGCTCAAGCCTGTAATCCCAGCACTTTGGGAGGCCGAGGCGGGTGGATCACGAGGTCAAGAGATCGAGACCATCCCGGTCAACA